AGGACCGTCGTGTAGTCGTGCTAGTAGACAACGGATCGTCGCATAACTTTATCAACACCGATCTATCTCGAAAGTTGAAGTTGCCAACGATGAAGGTCACTATTTCAGGTCCGAGTAGCCAATGGAGAACAGCTAAAGTGCTCAGAGGCTTACCATGCGATACCGATCAAATTCCAAGGAGTCACCATCAAAGCCGATCTCTATGCGCTACCCTTGGTAGGACCCGAAGTTGTGTTAGGAGTACAATGGCTCGAAGGTTTAGGAAAGGTGACCACCGACTACCGGATGGGAGTCATGGAGTTCGACTCAGGAGAGCACCGGGTCACGTTAAAAACAAGCAAAGACAACAGAGCCAAGGAGTTTGGTCTCAAGAGTATTGAGCGGGTTTGGCATGGGGGCGGTCAGATTTTTATCGTCGAGGAAGTAGGTGCATACGTGAGCATGGTCGAGCATGTCTCGACGGAATATGATGGCCCACCTATCTTCGACGTGTACCCCGAGGATGAACTCATGGACGACGAAGTAGTCGAGGAAGCTGCGATCAAGGAAACTGAGGTCGAAGGCAAGGTGCCCAAGATTTGGACGATTGAGCTGCAGCAACCCGAGACACGCGAGTTAGTTAGAGCAACCGACCGCGTACTAAGCAAGTCCGACAAAGAAGAAGGCAGTATCGACGAAAAGTGTAAGGAGCCTATTCTTCCGATTGAATTCTCGAAATATTTTATGGACGTAAGGCCCATCGAGTACGTGAATGAGTCAAAGGATTATGAAGGACCGCCTATCTTCGATGTATATCCCGATGAGTACTTTGTCGAGGTTGAAGGCATTTGGGCCGAGTCCAAAGAAGATGTTGTGGTCGAGGTGATGACGCCCCAGTTGATGGTCGATGACGAGTCCTTGAGGACAAGGACATTCTTAAAGAGGGCGGGAATAATACGGAAGTGGGTATTGACCCCCGATGATGAGAAAGGCCGAAGGCCGAGGCTAATGGACAAGGCCAAGCAAAGAGCACAAACGAAGCTTTCATGGCCTAGGAGACGTGCACGAGCACGTATACGAGGGTGTCGACGTGCACTATGGCATAGGAGGTCGAGCAAGAAGCTCAATAGAGCGAGACTTGAAGGCTC